CCCCCCCCCCCCCCCCCGTCGCGGAACCGTTTATGAATCTGCGAAAAGCACGCAAGCAATAACAGCAGGGCCTTGCGAATATTCAGATGCCTACTGTTTCGATACAGCAGAAACGCTTCAACTATAAAAAATTGCAGTATTACTAAATGTATACAGATTAAGTATAATATATATACGACACATACACACACTTATAATACACTTATACGTACAAACACACATCGTCAATGTACACTCGCGCAACCTACGAGAAGACTTTGTAAATAGTTAGAATGTAATTGATATTATAGGCGCCAAGATCTATTAAGGATAACATCAAATTTATTTATAGTAAATTTTCCGAAATACCGCATAAAAAAAAACTTGTGTTCTCTTGATTCATTTTGCAAACTGAAATTCCTATCCCAGAAAATTCCTTAAATGCGACTTGTCACGTAAGATTAAAATTATGAAAAACATAATAGATTTGTTGTTTAAAAAAGTAATTTATATAACATAAGTCTTAAAATGTATCTTATAAACTTAATAATCCTTTTTTTTTTACTTTTCGCGCAAAATTATATATCAATTATTTCTTGGAGATTTGCAAGTTTTTTATCGAGCTATATAGATACGGGAACGATATATATATAATTTTTTTAAACGATGTATATGTTATAAATACGTTATTTATTTTCTGGAAATAATTCATACATCAGAGAGAAAAATGTTTGATTACGTACATTTACATACATTCAATATTTTATTGTTTTTATCAATATGTGTTAAAATATGTCTCTTCAAATGTGGCATATTTTTCGGTTGTAATGTGCATTTGTGGCATTTCAATTGCGTATTTAAATAATCTTTGCATTTTTGCGAAGAAATTTTTTTTATTTCGCCTTCTTCGTGCAATTGACGGGATATATCTAAAATTCAATCTGTGTTTAATTGTATCTAAGACGCTTATACAAATAAGGATATCGAATCGAATAAGGATATCAGACCAAACCTGACGAATGTAAAAAGAACGGTGTTGTAAATGAGTTCCAATGATATTTGGTTTTAAGACAAGGACTACAGAAATCCGTGCTTATTACATGTAAGTGCAGTCTTTGCATACTTGGCATCGCGTGATAACCCATGCTACAAGAATTATAATAGCATATAATTTCACTTATCAAATATATACAAAGGTAATAATACAATCTATATATATATTTTAAAATTATTTCAAAATTCCTTATACTTTTATATTATTACTGTCATTACAATATTAATATTGCTGTTTTATTTTAATCGATTTTAATTTAAAACTCACATGAATTCATAATCTGTGTGTTTCTCTACAAGACCACGAGCAATCTCATGCATATGTATTAGCAAATCTTGATGATTCCTTGTCACTTGCCATATGGAAAGGATATCCTCTTTTGGTAAAACCAAATAGTGAAATTGTGCTTTAGGATACTTATCTTTAATGACAACTATTTTGTCATCTTGCTTGATTATACATTCAGGATCCTCCATCGTTTTAAGTAAACCAGCAGTCCAGGGAATTATTTTTGGAGTCGCTGGTTCACTCGTATCCGATTTGCAATTACGTTTCATTATCACAATTATAATGTTTTTCTTATTATATTTTAATTTCTTATTAATATCATAAAAAAACCTACATGTAAAGTAAATATATATATAATCTACACTATTTCACACAAAAAAGATGAAGGAATAAGTAAATTGTTACATAGCAAATTAATAATTGACATTAATTTTGTGTAATATAAATATTTTCCTGATTATTTCATTATTACAGAATTTTTAAGCATAAATCATAGATATGGAAAAAAATCATCCTGTATTTATTATAAAATGTATTTATCTTATAAATAGCAATTTGTGTTAAACTACATAATAATTATATGTTGTCAATTAATATCGACAAGTTTATTCACTCAGAAAATGATTAATAATTCTCATACCTGATAATTGTGACACTTAATACTGCCAGTTAGTTGCGAGGTTAATTCTAACCTATAGCCTATAGCATATGTGTCAAGCGATGCTATTTTTGCCATATTATAATATTTTGCATTTTAACTGCATCCGTAGTATATTTCCTGTATTATGCACTTTGTGATAATTAAGAAACAAACATATAAAGTACACTAATTTAGGAAAATGAACGAGATAAATCCACCGCGCGAGGGAACGATTGACTTCGTGTTCTAAAAACAGCTGATCGCAGCGGTTCTCTAAAAACAGCTGATTGCAGTGTTCCGAAAACAGCTACAATGTTCCGACAACATCAGCTAATTGCAATGTTCCGAAAATAGCTGACCGCTGTTTTATTTTGTCATGCTGCAAAATATTTTATATCAACTGAATAGCCAAAATTTTTCATATTGTTCGAAATCTTCAAGATATTCTCTTTTAAATTTATGTTAAAGTATTATTATTTATTTTCTAGAAAACATGCTTTATATATATTTTATTATACTTACCAATTACATTAAACGATATAATTATAATAAATATCATTTACAATTTGAAGTTTTTCCAATTTTCAAGAGTTTAAATTTTTTCATTTCAAAAATTCTAAAAATTGTTAGAATCGCGATTTTTGGAATTAAATCGTCTAAGAATCGCAATTCCAAGAATTCCTAAAATTTTAATACTGATAATTTGAATCGGATAAATTAAACTCTCAAAAATCGAGAAAATATAACTATAGCAAAGAGCACGAAATATAATTACAAAAATCCAGAAATCTATGAACTTTAATATGTACTTATTTCTTTATCATTTTCTTGCTTTTTTTCCTAATACTTTTTTAATGTACATTTCTGACAACAATAATGTAAAAAGAAAGAGAAGATAGAAAAAAGATAACAAGTTTTAGCGAATAACTTTGTATTTATTTATTTTACTCAAGTGGAAGGCAATCGATAAATTCGCAACAAATAAAAATAAATAACACTCTCTCTAGCAATAATATTACGTGATCCGTTACTCTTAAGAGTATATCATTACAATAAATTCAATGATACTTAATAACAAAATACTTATGTATACCATCTTCTTCTTCTTGCAATGCGCGTATAAAATGTGTGTTCACGTGCGACACTATTATATTTCTTTCCCCTTGATGCAATCGCGCGGTTCATTATATATTTGATGAAGCTCTGTATATATGTATAGATGCGATCGGTTTATGTGCTTTACACCTTGCTTGGCTGCGTTTATTTCGTCCTGGGTTGCTCTCGCAAGTTATAAAGATTCATTATTCACACGTATACGCACATACACCGCAGACGCACTACACACGACAGACTACCAGATTCGCACAGCCTGACAGATCGATCAATCATCGGCAAAATCATGATGAACGACTTGTAATTGAAATAATTACGCGATTGCAACGTTAAGCATGGTGCTCGCTGCGACGCGAGCTCGATAAAGTAGAGACGCGGCCTTTTACGATAATATGATCTTTTTATTATATGATCGCGCGCGCGTCCTTCGATTATTCTAAATAAATTCGTTACGTCAAGCTCGCCGCTGCATAACACATATACATACACGCATACATGCACACATGCACTATCTCTCTTTCTAATATTATATATATACAATATTTTACAGAACAATAAAACTTTTATTGTCATGGCAAGGGATGGTGAGATGTGTGATGATTTTCTAAGTGATGCTAATAGTAAGGGATATTCATTTTTTGGCACCTTTTGTTGTTCACCCCGATGCCATGTTCCGTTTGTTTTGACAGACGTCGCTGTTTCAGGCCATACTCAATTTTAAAAGTGTCATTAACTTGGAAACTTTTTAATGATACGATTCGGGATTGAAAGCTTCAGACAACGGCGGAAGAAAACGACTCGAAAGCGAGACATTAAATGCAAATGTTAGTAAAACGCGATTACAAAGCGGTCTTTACGATGAATCGACAGCATTGCAAATTGATTAATAACGTATAAGAGCCACTTGATATGAAAAAAAAATTCTTTTAAGAGCATCTATAAAATATCCAAGCGATCAAGATCTCGATACATCGATTCCATTGGCACGTTTAATATCTCAAGTGGATTATAAAATTCATAAGGTTTTGCGGAATCAAGTTTGCTTATCAGTCCGATAAAAAAAAAAAGAAACGTTTCTGCGACCGGCTCCATAAGTCAGGATTTCTGGGGGAGGGAAAGGTAAACCGGCTCCTAATTAAATGCACTGAGTTCCGGGTTAATTACTTCTGCGCGTGTCTCGACAAACTCAACGATGCATTACGATGCACATTCTCCCATCGCGTTCATTTCTCTATCGGGCATTCTCGCGCACACGGAACATGGCAGTACCTCGAGATCTTAAGGATTCTTTGTGGAGCATAAATATGTTTGGAATGTTGCATTTTTTTCTTTTGCTGTTTCTGGTGAACGCGGGAAGAGGAAGTGATGATCGCGGGCCAATATGCCGTTTCATTAATGAGACTGAAATGAAACAGACTTCGTTAATCTTTTCTCATTCGAAACTAACAACTCGAATACAATATTCTCTCTCATTCTTTCTTTTTTCGTACTATATAATATCAGTCCCGCATGGAACTAAAAAGCTCGCCGTGAATTGACGCTTCAAGGCATGTCCGTCGCGAGGAAAACTCGGAACGTTGTAGGGTTTTCTAAAAACTATAACCACGATATTTTTCGAATAGAGTCGATCGCAGTGTGTATTGGGGTTTCGATTAGCACCATCGCTGTCCATAAACATTAACACATATCACATACACACATACACAGAAGAAAATCTGCAATCATCCGTAACATCTTAACAAAATTTCGACGTATTTGTTATTAAATCTTATGAAAAAATATTAATATTAATTTAAAAATACTAGAAATAATATATAAATTTTTAGATAAATAATATCTAAAATAGGAAATCATATAAAGGAGAAAACATTAATTGTTCATTATTGTAAAAATTATTTCCAGATATTTTCCATACATTATCTAAATGTTTGCTGGATTTTTTTTCAAATGTACGATTTATCATGCAAATGTTACAATTTTTCATGTTGCAATCAAACCGAGATTCTCTTATATTCCCTTAGATAAGCACTCACGCTCTTCGAAACACGCTAAAATCTCCCACACACACATACATACATACATATTCTTTCTCTTATAACCGAGCTCGCCGGCGCGGTCCTTCGTCGTTACGTCGACGCGCGAAGCCGCTTGGTCTCCGAAGAACGTTTCAGAAATATGCATGGCGACACAGTTTTATAGAATAACCATGAGTTGACACAGCATTCCCGACACGAGATTCTTCGATTTATATAGCGATCGCTCATGCGATGTGCGTAAATAGTTGCGGTTCGCGACACACGTGGCTTTGATCTCTCTTGTTCGTAGTTTGGAAACATGGAATGTTACAAAACATCAAAAAGATTAATTAGTCGCGGGAGAAGGACCGCGCCGTGGCAACCGATCCCGGCACAATTGTGCAGCTCGTTCGCGCGCAGCCTTTCCCTCGATTTCTTTCATCTCTATTATTAATGATTATCGATTAAAATACGCAATAATTCCTAACATCACATGCTCTGTGGCTTAGAAAATATTTATAGCTGCGCTGAAAGGTCCTCGAACTCGCGTATCCGAATGTTAGTCGACTCGCAGACGTTAAGCGCATATAGAAGTATATTTTACATATGTGTGTGTATATGTATACTTTTACACAATAATTATTATTACTATCATATTATATTAGATTTTGTAAGTATGTATAATTATGCAGTTATGTTACGATTGATTACAATTGAGGGAGAGCGGAGGATAGCGATTTAGGGGGCGGAGGGTTTATTCGAGAAGATCATATATACGAAGTGTTTCTCGTCTTCTTTTGTTTGACACACACGCTATTTCTCGCAATTATTAAAATTCAAGCAACACACGACTGGACAATAAAAACTAGCTTAGAAATGTATCGTAAACTGATTCTTTGGAGAATTTTGAATGTATCGCAATTATTTCCGGAACTATCGTCCTTTTTCCCTTATAATATTTAGGAGCGTTTACCGCATCCTAATTCCCGCACATTGCTATTTAATCGAGGATTTTAATTTGCATGAATGCAAGAAGGATAACACTCACAAAGCTCATTTCAAGCATTTATCGGATATTATATTTCTCGCGAAAATGATCGTTTATCGACCGAGAGAACAATGTATAGTTAGTGGTCATCGATCGAGGAAGAATACGCGGTAACACGCGCGTCAAACATTGTGAAAACTGATCCATATTTCGATATTCTTCTCGTTTTTGTTTGTTAATTACGATTATGATCGTGTGCAATTATACAGCACCTTTTTTTAGCAGTATGATTATGTTTTCAACACTCAACTTGTAAAGAATGTGCTGAAACACTTTTTGTCTCGATGCGCGCGTGTAAGTACATATTCGATGTAACGTCGATATACTCGTCATAAGATGCATCAGAGGTAAAGAGGGATGTCGCGAAACGATTTATATAAAATGCATCGTATAGATCCGATCAAAATATCCGGCAATATAATAATCTGACTGTTCGCATCCCTTTGTCTCTTTCTCTCAAATTATATTTTTGATTGCTTACCGAGAATTAAGTACATAACGCCGGATTACGAAACAATATCTTGGGCTAGGTCGCGAAATCTACTTTATCCCACGTCATTGGAGATAAATCGGACGACATCTTGAAGTCGGAGTCTTCCATGTTAAAGAGATCAAAGGAGTATTGATTGCTACCTAAGAGCGGGTCATAGATATCTGTAGCAGACGAGAGACTGATCAATGGCATAGTAGATTGATGGTTGGATGACAATGTTGTAGAAGTTGTGGGCGATTGAGGCATCAGGGAGTCTAACCAATCGGGATCGTCCATATCCATTGGCATGTCACAATCCAACTGGACAAAGTCCATCGGATCCAACGTTTCCAAATCCAGTCCTAGTTCCTATGTGAGAAATAAGATATCAATTTGAATAATAGCACTATTTTCACTTTTGATAATTATATTACATATTATTTTAATTAATACGCCAGAACATAACTATTCTATTCTCGATATAATTTTTTCCTAAGAAGGAAGGCTTACTTTGAGATCCAAATTCGCGTTGTCCGAAGAAGTCACTTCTTGCGGTGGCTGAGGGTCCGGAGATGTTTGTTGCGTCGATTGAGGACTGAGCAACATAGTGGTATCCATCTCGGCCTCGGCAGTCAAGAGATCCGTATTGAAAGACGAAATCTCCTCCTGCTGCTGCAGTTGTTGCAACGCGTTGGGTAATTGAATAGAAAATGCCGTTAACGGTAACGGCGGCGGCGGCGGCGGTGCCGGTGTCGATGGACTCGGGCAACCGCTCTGGGATACCTCCATCGGTATCGGACTGATCGGACTGATCGGACTCATTGGACTGGTGGCTGTAAAGACCAACGACTGAGTTGGACTGTCCGCCGGCGCGGTGAAGACCAGATTCTGCTGCAGCTGACGATTCGGAGTCGTAGGAGTAGCTGGATCTTGCGCGGCACTCGGCGGTAATTCGCCATTCTTGATGAGAATCTCCAATACATCGTCGACCACTTGACTCTTTATGTGACTCTTCTGGACCGGCTCGATTTTGACCTGTATAAATAAAATGCGCATCATTACAAAACTATACGTTTATAAAACATTAGAAGATATTGCAAAAGTTATAAGTTATAACTTTATAATACAAATTATAATTATATACTATAATATCATAAAACTTATTCTATACACAACAAAGCCTTAAAATATTATAATTGAAAATCATAATTGTACTCACCTTCAGCAACTTAGCGGCTTCATCGTACTGCGGTGGCGGTGGCTTGATGTCATCAGAGGTAGTTGTTTGTTGCTGCTGTTGAGCTTGTGCCTGCGCCATGAGAGCACCGAGCAGCGAGCTATTCAGCTTGGTCGGCTTTGCCAGATTCAGAACGATTGCTGTAGGTATTTGAACAGTAGTACTATTCTTGGACTGATTCTTCTTGTTGTTGATCGCGGTTAAAGTCGCGGAATCGAGAATGGCGGTCGCATTGTTTGGTTGTGCCTGTAAAAAGGCCGCGAGACTCGCTTTCGCATTAAGTTGTTGGATCGTGGCTTGTTGTTGCGTTTGTTGCTGCGATTGTTGTTGATTCTGCTGCTGTTGCTGCTGCTGTTGCAGGTGTTGAAGCTGTTGCAAATGTAATTGTAACTGTTGCTGTTGCATCTTGTTCTGTAGGTGTTGCTGCAGGACGAGTTTCTCGGCGCGCACCGTAGCCGGCTGCGTCTGGCGGATCTGCTGGAGCTGTTGCTGCGACCTGTATAGTTCACGTTGTAACTCCTCTATCCGTCTCCTCTGCACCTTGATGATATCATCTCCTGAAACACGAACTGCGTCGTAAAAACACCCACGTGTGTGCTGTCTCTCGAATCAACGGCCTCGCTCGAAAGTCTCATCGTCTCTCAGGCGCGCGCGCCAAAAATTTAAAGTGGCATTCGATATAACAAAGAGGTATTGAGATGACGTTTTTTTACCTGGTGGACTCGACGGATCGTCGTGCTCGCTACTGTGAGGCGAGGCCGTTCGTGGACTATGCGGCTCGTCCTTCACGATACAATTCGGACTCTTGGCTTGAGAACTGGATTCGTCCGTTGCCATCGGGCCAGGTGTGTCCATCAAGATGTGGCCCATATGCGTCATGTGCGGTCCATTGGACATCGAGTTGCTACTAGACGATTCCGTGAAGGGCTTTAATCGCTCGATCAATTGCGGTTTCGATCCCGACACCGGCAAGTTTCGTCGTTTCAATTCCACCTTGAGATCGCTCACTGCGAATGCGATGCGCGAAATAATTTTCTGCTCCTTATGGCGAATTTTTCTCGTATTAGTACTGTGTTTGGTACCTTTCATGTCCTCCAGCTTGCCCAGGGGCCTCAACGGAGGCTGCTCCAAAGGATTGTTCGAGGAATTCGAAGGAGCTGGACTGGCAGCGTTCGCACTACTTCCGCTCACGCTACCAGCGTCACTTGCACCGCTACTTGTGAGCGACAGCGGCTTCTGTGCAGCCGGCAAGATAATCTGTGGATACTGAATAAAAAAAGATGCTTTAATTTTGTAGCTTCATCAATAAAATATTCGTTTCGCGTCAAAATGCTAATTTAATATATATTCGAAGAATCACTTTGGAAATACTTTCTTTAAAGCTTTTTAAAAACAATATAAGATAATAAAACACTGTTTTGTACGAAAAATCCAACGAAATTGTGATAATTGAGTAAATGCAGAATTTTTTATTGCAAAAAAAATTGACTGTTACAATGTATGGGCTAATACCTTGTGCTGCCACTCGAGCTGCCATTGAAGGAACAGCTGCTGCTGTTGCAGGAGCAACTCGTAACTGGTCTCACCGGGTTGCGTGACGCCAAGACCGGAAGTACTAGACGACACCGGCGTCTTCTGCGCGTTTGGGGGACCCTATAACAAAGAGTCGAGTTGTGTTATATTATGAAGAAAACGTAGAAACACAACGTTCGTTTGACCATTCGTCCGCTTGACCGTCAAATCGGTGACGACTCACAAAACCCGACAAATAAACCCTGTCTTTGTGCATCTCGATTTACGTAACGCTACTCACGCTCCGTCAACAGATTTGAGATACTTTTTCTGACATCACCGTCTGGCGTTCCCGGTGCATCGCGAGGAGGAGAGGCGAAGGTAGGTGACGTAGCTCCGCTTCAGGCCGCACCGAGTGATAAATGATACATCAAGATGTTTTCTGCGCCCTCATTTGCACGCCCATTCCCGGCTCGCTTTCACACCGGCCAAGCCGTATCTCGGGTGTTTTGGGGCCTGGGCGACTCGGCCGCTCCGTTCGGTTCAGCTCGGGGGTTTATCGGGCCCGGGGGAGAAGGAGACCCCGCGCGGATGGTCCGCTCTCGCTCCTTGGCTTCCTCGCTCTTAGGTGCAATTAGCGCTCGAATTACTCAGAGCTAACGAGGTGGGTCCGGAGTCCCCCTCTTTCTCTCTCTCTCTCTCCCTCTCTCGGAAGATCGCGAGAGTTAATCACCCGATACGATCTCCCTTCGACGTTGCTCCTCCGGGCCCCGGTCTTTCCGCCGCGGCGGTCCATTGGAGCCGAGATTCACGGTCCGTGCTCCGTATTCGTTTTTACCTCGCCTTCTTCCTACTCGGCCACCTCTCTCTTCTTCTTGCTCTCGAGCCGGTCCTTTTTGCTCGTCTCATCTTTTTGCCGTGCTTGTTGCCACGCCGAAATGCGGCTCTCCGTTAGCCCGCACTGGCCGGGCACGGGAACTAGTTTGTAGTGCCACCCGGCGGTCCCGGGTACACGATAATTATCGCGCGCCTCTGTATATACACTTTGGCCGTGCCTCGGATCGAAGAAGATACTTTGCATCTCGTCCGTCGCGTTTTAGCCGTTTATCGTGACTGAGAAATTTCCGGTAATATTTTTTTTCCCTCGAATTTTATGCCGAAAGGCAATTTAAGCTGAGAAATTTTTATACGCTATTATATTTAAAATAAAAACAATATTTTAATGGAAAGTTATATTTAATTAGTAAATCTAATCTTATTGCATTTCACTAATAATTGCTAATTTTTGTACCATGATTTTATCCATTAAATTAATTAGTAAATAAAAAAATAATTTTAGTAGAAATATAGGATGTAGAAATCATTCTTTTTATTTTAATAGCGTATTATAAATTACTGATTGTGTTAATATCTATATATAACATACAGATATATTTTTAAAAAAATATGCAAATTTTCGATTCATCGATCAAGCTTGCTATTTACATAACATGGATTATGTGTAAAGATTCACGAAGCAAATGTGAACAGTGATGTCAGAATCTCGGTGCTCTTCGAGAATACCCCTTAATAACTTTCGTCGTGATTCAATGGTTATTCCGACGACATAATACACTCCGTGTAATAAAATCGATATCTCCAGACCGGAGAGAACGAACAGTATCATTCTGCAGCTCTTGGCGATAAAAGAAAAAAAGAAAAAGAAAAGAAATGAGACGCGCGAACGTCTCGCGTATTGCTCTCGTTTGTGCAAGTCACACAGAATGACACGGTTGTTCTCGTCTCGCCAAAATGTTGACACAATAAATTGAAAGCGAACTTACTTTATACTCGTGGAATTTGATGGTGCGGGTCTTGGGCTGGCTCTTGGTCTTCGACTTCTTTCTGTTCTTGTCCTTTCCGGGGGCGTCGCTCCTTTGGCACGTGGTGACGGCCGCGGCGGCAATCGGGCTCGGCTGGGGCCGTGGGGTGATCGCCGCTGGCGGCGGCGCCGGGGGCGACGCTATCGAGATGTTGGACAGAGGGCTCAGACTGGACGTGGTTGAGCCCAGGGACATCGGACTCGGCGCCGGCGCCAATGGCAGGAGGGTTGTCGACGGGCCATTCGTCGTCTGACTCGCCTATTAAAAAGAGGGACAGAAAGATTGCCCGGTAGTTTTTTAAACTTCCATAATAAGATCCATATTATAGATTGCTATCGAACGTAATTGTTGACAACTTAAGTATGCACTGGAATTAGCACACGTCATCGCAATCAATCTTTGCTCGATTAACGCTTTTATTGTCATTTAAATGTTCAGAAATCAATCTTGAAAAGGTTTATCACTGCTGCTGCTCCAAATTTACCTGCGTAGAGGTGTGCTGCTGGGCCTGCTGAATTTGTTGCTGTTGACTTTGCTGCTGCGTGCCTACAACGGTGTTGCAAAGCTCGGCGAAGGTCTGTATCGTCGATTCCGTGGACGTCTGCTGGAACACGGGGGACGTCGACGAGACCACAACGGCACCGCCGGTCGTGGGTATGCTGAGGGAAACTGTGACGATGCCCGCGGAGGCCGCGGCGGTTTCCAGGACGTCCGACGATCGCGACTCCAATTGCGGCGAGGGTGCGCCCTCCGAGCTCTGGGAGTCATCTTCGAAGGTAATGTAGTGGTCCGGATGCTGGGGCTTCGTCACTTGCCCCTCGCAGGTGGCCTTGAAGGGAATGTGACCCTCTGGGGAAGGAATTTAATTGATAAGAGATTGCAAAAACTTGATGTAATTCTGAATATGACGTAATATAATATTACAATAGTAAATCTATGTGCTTATTTTTATACATTGCATTTTTTTATGTCATAAGTAATCGTATCGTGCTATTTTATTTTAGTAAAGGCCATCGAGATAAGGATACCTTTGACTGCCCTCTCGATGGGCTCTTCAGTATGAAGGATATTCTTTTGGATGAGCTCGAGCGGTCCGGGTCGATGACTGAGCTGATCGTTGAGATGATCGGCTAGCCTGGCCTTCTTCAGCATCCGCTGCCGCTCGGCCAGGCTCGGATCCACGTGACCCACATCTTCGAGGATGTGCTGTCGAACGAGCTCGTCCCTACCTGGTCTCTGCTGGATCTTCGCCTTCAGCAGATCGCCTGTCTTTGCTCGCTCGAGCTGCTTCCGTTGCTCGTGAAACGCCGGTGGCGTTTTCAGCGCTGCGTGTGCGAGAAAAAAAACATCCTTGTCTCTCATATCGTATTTTATTTGCTCTTTCTGACGCGATTAATTTTACGCATGGCATGTCGTGCTAGTACGTCTCACCGCAAACTTTTTTTTTTCGCAAATAACGGAATAATCTGCAATCGCAGAAGGGGGACTGATTCGAGGCTGTCATAATTTTTCATTTCTGATTCTGGGTCGCAATTTTTACCGAGTAGATTTCCTTAAAAAAAAAAAAAGAAAAAAAAACAGATGCCCAATTTCTCGATGTCTCGTGCATGTTGCAAGCATCAATTTGATGATGACTCTCAAAATGCGTCCGCATGGCGCCATTTTCGTGTCAACATGACGCGTCCTCTTCTCCGCTCTCGCATTCCCCAACGCCATTAAGTCGCCGAATAAATGATCCCCAAAGCATGTTCATACCGCTGTGTATTTCCGGACGCGGATGCTGCGGACGTTGTCGTTGCGCTGGATAAAAGTGCGTGTACGCATCATCTACGATCTCCTCGTCGCCAACAGTGTAGTAACGGATACGTGAAAATACACGAGCGCGTCCTGGTATTTTAATGTACCGCGTGCCGTAAGTTTACGTCTTTGACAGGGCACGCCGGCGATTCTTTCCTCTCCTCTCGTTGCGGATTTTTTTTTTAGTGGGTTCGAGATTAATCGCGAATGCAATTCCATTCCACGTCGTTGTCCCGCGAGAGATGCAACGTTTCCTCGAATATTACTCTTCGACTCGTTACGGAAAATTTACGGTACTCTTACGAGGATGCGAGAATAAATAAAAAAAAAGGGATTTCCACGGCTTGTCGAATTACATGTTCAAAAATTTTACTGTAAATATACCGGATGTTTATAAATTATTTATATGTATATATATATACAGTATTTAAATCTTTTGCTTTCGCTTCCTCATTTCGAAACCTCTGTCATTTCGTTCCCTTCTTACCGCGAGATTTCGGAGGCACCGAGACGTCTGACGTCCTTGCAACGCCTATTCTAATCTCACGCGAAGTGTCTGAGGGGCGTCGTTAATTTGCCGCAATAAACGTCGTCTTCCGCGGTTGGAGTGAGCTCAAGATTCGGGAAATAAAATACGAAATTGCGATCTCTCTCTCTATACGACGATTGACATCTCGGGAGCAAATCGTGTAGATCTATTTACATTCGCTCGTTGCATACTTGTATGACACATATGATGATGCGGATGCACTTGATGATACCATACGATACAAATCTGGCAAGCATCTCGCTGCGGAGCGAAGCAATAAATTTCGTAGATAAATTAATATGAACAGATTAATATCGTTGTAAACGTATTAATATATAATTTCATTCAACTGGGTATTTATAGCTACTTAACGAGCAATCTTTTATACGTAAAGGTTTTCGTCATATTTAATGTATATAGTTTATAAATTATTAATAATGTATATAGTTTATGAATAAAGTAATTAAATTTTTTTTTTCATATTATTCACATGTAATATAATTTTATAGATTTAAAATAAAATAATATTGTTAAAGAAATTGTAAAGAAAAATACAAAAAAAATTATAACATTAAATTTCAATAGCCATTATTTCTCCTTAAATTTTAAAAGTTATATGAAATTTTAAATAACATTGAAAATATTCAAATAAAATATAAAAATACAAATGACAGTAATGATTGTGCCAAATGATTGTGATAAATAAGAAACTTTCCTGGTTTCGAAAAACTTTTCTCAGAAATGCATCGATTTCTGGAAGAAACTGGATTTATAACATAATTCCCTGGTCGGTTTCTGCGAAAGCGACTATTACCCTCGGACGCAGATGCGTATGCGAAGCGACTTTAAAGCCCCAAGGGAGTTGCAAATGAATGAATGCCGCACGGTATGGAAATGCGTATACACGGATGCGCATAAAGGCGAACGAGGCCTATCAAAGTGCGTATTTTCATCAACCCGGCACTATATGTATACCGGGCGCTATAAAACGCGCCGGCGCGCGCACGGTAACAAGAGCAATATTTTAGGGTGTGACCCAAATAATTACTGGATGCCGGTGCTCTCGTTCTGGTAAACATTTGGTATCCGTCGTAAATCTACCGAGCAACTAGAGACTGCCACTCTTATACCGTTGATCGCTTCGGGGATTTCGGGTGCGAAAGACGACGAGCGAGTAGTCACGCGAGTGTGTTTTTACTTTTGCTTCTTCATTTACACCGCTCCTCGCATGCCACGAGAATTTAGTTGATCTCATGATACGATAAAGAGGAATGATCGATTCGCTTATTGCGGAAAAGACGTGCGTTATAAAGGAGCAAGAAAACATTCTTGCAGTTGTTATTTTGTAGGAAAGTCAACTTGTGTTCTTTTTCTGGGATAGATCGATTTAATTATTACAAGATTAATTGACTCGATACAGACCCAATTCGTTTCACTTCTCAAAATTTACAAAAAACGATCGATAATTATCAATTCCTTTAATCGTCGCGAAGCAATTTATCACAATCTACAATTGTCCTAGATATATCAGAGCCTTACTTTTTATATATATATAATTCCCGATAAAGGCTCGATAAATGACTCATACATGCATCAATCTATCCGAACGAAAATGTTTTTAAGAGCGCGGAGACCGGTCGGCAATGATGTTCAATAACGGGTCGTAACGACAGCTGCGCAGATCAGCAACCAGTATCGGCGAAGATTTAACAGCCTCGAGTCCAAGCACAATTTTCCGCGGGGCACGCAAGAAAACAAAAAGGGAAAAAAAAATATAAATGGCGTAATAAACAACGGATCAACACTTACATGGCATGATGCCTTGCGCAACCAGCTGATTGATGGGTCGCCTCAGCATGAGCTTCACCTTCAACGCTGGAACAGAAAAAGCGAGCCGCCGGTCATAAAGTGCGTCTCCTTAGTTATGGGGAAGAAATTAGGGGCCAATTCGAAAGAGCGGCCTCCTCCATCTTCGTGGAACTTTTATTTGAACGAGTGCATTGCACCTCGGGGCGAGACATGGGCATAGGCGGGGAGGCCATTCGCGAAATCCTCCCGTCTCTCGACACGGCACCGCTCCAATTTCTGCGGGATTTCCGCCGAAGAGTCGCGACAGCCGCAAAATATCAAGCCGCGCGACGCGAGATGCTTCTATAAAAATCACGGAGATCAAAGTCGATCATTCGCCTTAACCCGGCGTGGATTTTTTTCCTCTTGGGGTTTTTTTTTTTCCTTACGCATACCGTACGCGTCTTTCCGATCCTTTTAAACAGCGATGATGGCTTTATGTTTTCACATTTTTCTAACAAGTTGATGTAATTAAAGGAAGACTTGCTTTCATTATTGCATTTGAGTAATACATATTAAAACAATAATATAATCGATATAAAATATGAGTGTATCAAAAATAAAAATCTTTAGCATATCGTTAAAAAGCTGAAAAATTTACACAGATAAAATATATTATATGTATTACCTTTTGATAAAATATATTTTTTAAATTTTAAAAGTTATATGAAATTTTAAATAACATTGAAAATATTCAAATAAAATATAAAAATACAAATGACAGTAATGATTGTGCCAAATGATTGTGATAAATAAGAAACTTTCCTGGTTTCGAAAAACTTTTCTCAGAAATGCATCGATTTCTGGAAGAAACTGGATTTATAACATAATTCCCTGGTCGGTTTCTGCGAAAGCGACTATTACCCTCGGACGCAGATGCGTATGCGAAGCGACTTTAAAGCCCCAAGGGAGTTGCAAATGAATGAATGCCGCACGGTATGGAAATGCGTATACACGGATGCGCATAAAGGCGAACGAGGCCTATCAAAGTGCGTATTTTCATCAACCCGGCACTATATGTATACCGGGCGCTATAAAACGCGCCGGCGCGCGCACGGTAACAAGAGCAATATTTTAGGGTGTGACCCAAATAATTACTGGATGCCGGTGCTCTCGTTCTGGTAAACATTTGGTATCCGTCGTAAATCTACCGAGCAACTAGAGACTGCCACTCTTATACCGTTGATCGCTTCGGGGATTTCGGGTGCGAAAGACGACGAGCGAGTAGTCACGCGAGTGTGTTTTTAGTTGATCTCATGATACGATAAAGAGGAATGATCGATTCGCTTATTGCGGAAAAGACGTGCGTTATAAAGGAGCAAGAAAACATTCTTGCAGTTGTTATTTTGTAGGAAAGTCAACTTGTGTTCTTTTTCTGGGATAGATCGATTTAATTATTACAAGATTAATTGACTCGATACAGACCCAATTCGTTTCACTTCTCAAAATTTACAAAAAACGATCGATAATTATCAATTCCTTTAATCGTCGCGAAGCAATTTATCACAATCTACAATTGTCCTAGATATATCAGAGCCTTACTTTTTATATATATATAATTTCCGATAAAGGCTCGATAAATGACTCATACATGCATCAATCTATCCGAACGAAAATGTTTTTAAGAGCGCGGAGACCGGTCGGCAATGATGTTCAATAACGGGTCGTAACGACAGCTGCGCAGATCAGCAACCAGTATCGGCGAAGATTTAACAGCCTCGAGTCCAAGCACAATTTTCCGCGGGGCACGCAAGAAAACAAAAAGGGAAAAAAAATATAAATGGCGTAATAAACAAACGGATCAACACTTACATGGCATGATGCCTTGCGCAACCAGCTGATTGATGGGTCGCCTCAGCATGAGCTTCACCTTCAACGCTGGAACAGAAAAAGCGAGCCGCCGGTCATAAAGTGCGTCTCCTTAGTTATGGGGAAGAAATTAGGGGCCAATTCGAAAGAGCGGCCTCCTCCATCTTCGTGGAACTTTTATTTGAACGAGTGCATTGCACCTCGGGGCGAGACATGGGCATAGGCGGGGAGGCCATTCGCGAAATCCTCCCGTCTCTCGACACGGCACCGCTCCAATTTCTGCGGGATTTCCGCCGAAGAGTCGCGACAGCCGCAAAATATCAAGCCGCGCGACGCGAGATGCTTCTATAAAAATCACGGAGATCAAAGTCGATCATTCGCCTTAACCCGGCGTGGATTTTTTTCCTCTTGGGGTTTTTTTTTTTCCTTACGCATACCGTACGCGTCTTTCCGATCCTTTTAAACAGCGATGATGGCTTTATGTTTTCACATTTTTCTAACAAGTTGATGTAATTAAAGGAAGACTTGCTTTCATTATTGCATTTGAGTAATACATATTAAAACAATAATATAATCGATATAAAATATGAGTGTATCAAAAATAAAAATCTTTAGCATATCGTTAAAAAGCTGAAAAATTTACACAGATAAAATATATTATATGTATTACCTTTTGATAAAATATATTTTATTATCTTGGGTAACGACATTAATTTTTCTCTCATATATTTTAACGAAAAATTCTAGTTTCTAGTTGACAATCGGGCTATTATATTTTTAATTTAACATTCCTATTAATATATCTGTATTTCCACTAATTGTAAATGTGGATACAAAGGACCGCCAAGATGCACCGAGAATCAAAGGTCGAAGAGATGCGCGGGTCTTTTCCCCGCGCAGGATCGGATACCCAAGTAACACACAAGTAGAGAATTAACACACAAAGGGCCGGCGGTTATAAATACGCGTACGGGGGCCAGATTGCATAAATTGTCTGCGAAAGAGGAAGAATGAAAACACGGAGGCCGCATGGCCGCGCAATCTGAATTCAAAACGGCCAATATCCTGGCGAAATGCCTGGCGCACTGCCTTTGAGCATAATGGCTCATCCGCGGTGAGATTCGCTACTTTATGCGCTGCTGCTGCTGGATTAACAGAGTTCAGATTCCCCTCGAATCGTCAACAAACGTTACAGTGGCAGTTCTCTCTCCATCTTTCACGTCTTTGAAAACAGTCACGATCTCCTCGATATTTGGCGAAAATTATAAAATGCTTATAAAATTGCATCGTGAATTTTCTGTATATCAATTACATATAAATCAATGTCGGCGATTAATAATTATTGGTCGTAATAAATATAACCATTGAACAGATGGTATCTTTCTTGCGACGAGCGTGATTTAATTCGTCGCATAGTTTCAGTTAAGTTACAACTGCTTCGAGATTGAAATATGATTGCTGAATTTTCTGTATATCAATTACATATAAATCAATGTCGGCGATTAATAATTATTGGTCGTAATAAATATAACCATTGAACAGATGGTATCTTTCTTGCGAGGAGCGTGATTTAATTCGTCGCATAGTTTCAGTTAAGTTACATACAACTGCTTCGAGATTGAAATATGATTGTTGAGGCTTTGGATAACATTGTATTTTGGCATTGTTCTCTCTCTCTCTTTCTTCTTCCCTCTCGAGCCAGGCGCACGTGCATAGCTGCGCACGTGCATAGTTGTACCGTGTAGCCGATGGCATGGCAGGTTACGACTTCGTGGTTCGCGTGGCTCGATCGCGCTTAACGCGGAATTCCCACCGTGTTTCGCATTTCTGGAAGCTTCCGGCGTTGTTTCGCCTCGCTAAACCTCTCTGTGTGGCAACGGCTAATTTCTTAACCCCACAGGGTCGAGCATTCTCCCCTTATGTGCAAAATTCGGTTTCAACATGTAATTAATGACATGTATCTGGAGAAGAGGGATGGACAGTAAACTCGAATAAATATATATTGTAAAAAAATTGACATATTTTTGTCTGAATTTTCAGATCTGGGTGCCTGAAAGAAATTTCAGACAATCTAGCTTAAACAGAGTCGTTTTTCTAAAAGTTCAGAAAAATGTGTCTAAAAATTGAAATATGTCTGAAAATTTAAACAGTGTGTCTGTAAAAATACTTTAAACATTCTGACTGAAGTTTTTCTTACAGTGTATTTCTAAAATAAATATTCCGCAATTTACGAATAAATTATAAAAAATATTTAAAGTAATAAAATTCAATTTAATCATATAATATATATGTGCCATCCAAAAAGCAGTAAAATTTTGAAATGAATAATATTATCCCTCTCGTTTCCTATTTTTCTTCATGAAATATATGAGACAAACTTCGTTCAAAGTATTTAATGATTTTCATAATATTTTGAAATTTATCTGTTTCTTTAAATTATAATATTTCCATCAATCTAAAGCAGCAGTTATTATCTATGCGTGTAAGAATACACGCAAGTGATAAACGCATCGCGATACATTGGCCGAGCCATCTATCATATTTCAGTGTTTCCAAATATTTACACAGTCAACACGGTAAATCTCACGTCTTTTACGATTGCAATAAAACTTACAACTGCGTAACATCGTATTACGGTTATCACTTTTCGCTTGTATGCATTTCATCGATCTGCGAGACGTATATCCGCTCTTACGCGAGCGCTTTGCGTACCACGCGAATATCTCGAGGTGTGTATATCTCGAACTAAATTCATTACCGGACTCTCCCACGCATTGGCTCGCGGACTCGTGTTAATTGCTATAAATTTCTGGACGCGGGGAGAGATATGGGAACCACACACGCGCGACTGCCGCAAGTATTCGCGACATTCGTAGAATGCAGATTTGCGTGGTGCATTCCTGAGAGGCGATTATCCTCAACGCGCATTCGAGTACAGCCTTTGCCACTTTGATTCTCGCTTCACGACGCGCATCGCTCTTATGAATCGCCGTGCTAATTTAACGGGTGGCTAATAATTGTAGAAATAATTACATCTAGAGAAATTGGATAAAATCGATGTTTTGTGATAAATAATGGATGCAATTTTATTTTTCCTCAACTGATTTGCAAAATGAAACAAAATTCAATAAAAGCTTTTTTTCATCGAGACGAAAGATAAAGTTATCGAAATACACACGCAAGTTGCGCCTGCAATCGATATTCGATTATTTA